CCGGCTAGGGCAACGAGCGGGGCGATCGCCAGCAAGGACCGCTGGTGTAGCCATGCTCGAATGTCACGGAACGTCATCTCGGGGTGATCTGTATCAAGGGCCGAGAGGGGCCAAAAATGGCTATGTAAAATGTATCAAAGGTTTGCCACACGTGGAGACAAAAGCACAATGCAAACAATCAAGGTGAGCGAAAGTTCGGGGGGATTTAGGGGTGTTTGGCTTCAAACACATGGTGCGCCTTTTGCTCTTTGCACGGGTGTCCTGACGTACTGCCAAACGAGGTTGCACTTCGGCGGCAGGTTCAGGAAGATGGGTCGTGCGAAGGCAACCGCGTTGGTCGGACCCTCCGGGCTCGCGCGGGACACGGACGCCCTTCGGGTCGTAGTGGTTGCGGTGCTGGTCGAGGTCCGTCACAGGGCGCTCAAGTGGTTGAGACGGTCCGCCCCCTCGAGGTCTTGGCAGGTCCAGAGCTTGAGGCGGCAAAAGCACAGCCCCATCACTCTGGCGAGGTCCGAGGACTCAAGGATGCGGGTGGAACTGGGGTCGTAGCGATAGCGCCGCATGTCGTAGAAGGGCGTGGCGGGTTGGTGGCGTTGTCGCTTCTGGCTGGGGAGCAGGTCGACTCGGAGTGGCTTGATGCGTCCCAGGTTGCGCTGGGCGACTTGCTCCAGCTTCTCTTGGGTCCAGAAGGTCCTGTGCATGTATGGCAGTTTCTGAGCCGTCTGCATGTTGTTCATGATCATGTCGGCCAGATAGGCGCGGGGGTCCTTGGCTTGTCGCAGGTCGGATGCGATCTCGTTGATGTGGACCTTCATCTGTTGGATGAGCTTGCCGGTCGTGTCCTCCTCCCAGCGAAGAAGGTAGAGCATGTAGCGCCGGTCGTCGTCGCCGGTGATGGCCTCTGCCAATTGGTCCGTCTCGTGTGCTCCAGCGGTGGCGCGTACCACGAGGCACTTCTGGGCCGGCACGAAGCGTTCTGTGTCGTCTTGGCCGGCTGCGGTCAGGGCCTCCCCTCGGGATGCGGCTTTGGCGTCACTGTAGGTTTTCCAGGGGTGGTATTGCTGGAGGCACTCGGGACAGAAGAACTGGCCGTGCTCGGTGATGTTGGCGGTGGCGCGCAGCCAATGTGACGAATGTACCACCGCTTTGCACGACTGACGTCGGCAGATAAAGTGCTCGTCGGTGGACGGGAGGACGCGGGTGATGAAATCGGTGAGGTGTGTGGGATAGTCGTCAGAGTCCAAGAACTCAAGGAGGGTCCCGGTGCTGTTTGCGCGCAATGCCTCGGTGAGGTGCTGCCTCTCCCATTTGTGGAACATGAGGAATAGGTCTCGTCGGTCCTCGGGTGCCAGGTTGATGAGGTCGAGGCACATGGTTTCGGCGAGGAACTTGGAGTGGTCGCTGATGAGGCGGCGAAGGTGGTTGTTGGAGGTTCCGGGGTGGATCTCGCGCAAGGAGTCCATCATGTCCGTGTGGGTGTTCGTGCGGATGGTGCCGACGGCCTTGTTGGTCATGTAGTCCAAGCGGCGTCGCCATGCTCGTCGGCACAGCTTGCTGAACACCTCGAGGGTGAATGGCCGGCGGTTCTTCACGTCGAGGGCTGGTACCCTGATCCAGCGGCGGTTGACCTGGTCCCACCTGTGCACGGTGATGTAGGCGTCGTGAGCGTCGTCCGTCTCTGGCACCGCAATCTGTAAGGTCGGTGGGGCGATGGTATGGTCGCTGATCATGGCCGCGAGGTCGGGGTGCTCTGCGATGGTGTTGTACGGTGCGTGTTCTGCAATCAGGGAGTTCGGGTCGGCCAGGAGCTCCTCGAACTGGAACCACGGCACGCTACTGGTGTCGCAGGTAGCGCACCCGTAGCACGCCCCGACCCACTTGTTTCGCCAGTCGGTTTCCTCTGAGAAGCAGAGGGGCATGATGTACTGGGATTGGTATGGGATCTGGCAGAACGAGCACTGCAGTGTGGCTGGTGTTGGATTCAGGTTGTGCCAGTCCAGCAGCAGGTAGCGTGTCCGTGTGTCCGGCTCGGTGTTGGTCGACTCCATGAAGAGGTCGATCGCGTCCGTGGTGGAGAGGCGGGGATTCTCGGTGCGGAAGGTCTGGAACCTCGAGAGGACGCCGGTGTTGTAGGACCGCAGGAGGAGCTCGCAGACTGCGTCGGTCTCGCGAAGTGCCATGTTGTGCGAAGGGGGTGCGATATCGGATACACAAAAGCCAGCCTGAAAATTCCTTCGGAATTGGAGGTGGCGCTTGCCGAACTCACGCAGGAGTCGGTAGTGTGCCGGGTGTGAGTCAAAAGGGGGGGGGGTTGGTCGGGCCAGGGGGGTGTGTCTAGGTGACTCGGGTCCAAGGATGGCCCGTTGATGGGGGGAGCTGTACGACGCGCCACACCGGCACAAACGTCGTGTTAGATGACACGCCACACCGGCACAAATGTCATCCCGAGGGGTGGAGCTGTCCCGTAGGACCAACTCCCTGCGGTGTGAAGGTGACCGGGGTCGGCCAGTTTGTCATCAGGGATCCGACCCGAAGAAACCGAGGGTAATCCACAGGGGATCCGAAGTGGGGTGAAAGACCGGTCGGGTTCGGGGCAGGCGAGTGGGGATTGGTCACCGCAGTATGGGCCTCAGCAGTGGGTCGGTTTGTCAAGGGGTATCCTCTCGAATCAAACAGGGGGGACGAAGAGGGTCGACCCGGGCTCGAGGCTCTCAGCGCTTTTGCGCGGTCCGAAGATGGATCTCTCTTCGGGAAAAGGGGGCCTCAGGCGGTCGCCTAGGCATGGGTGTCACCTGTGCGGTATGAGGGTCATCGCCCTATTGCTGGCCCACCATCGCACGGGACATGGACTTGGTGGGTCAACTTAGGGTGGCGGGTTTGGAGACTCCTCGGTGCCGCCTGGTCAGTAGCGGGAGTCCTGGCTCTGCTCAGTCTTAGAGCTCCCGGTTGAAGCGCAGGTGTCCGTCGGGGCCGAGCAGGATGCCCTCGATGGTCGCCATGGTGCGTTGTTCGGGGGTCAGGAAATTGGAAATTGTCTCAATGATGGTCTCCCCGAAGGTGATTGCCATGTTGTCCACAAAAGGGTCTCGCCGGGAGGCGCGACAGAGCTGCCTCCCGAAGGTAAGCCAGGAACAGGTCAGTTGTTGTAGCATGTGCTGCCGGTTGGCGCTGTTGAGCAGCTGGAGTTGTTGGTGAACGTGTTGCTGGATAATCCAGCGCAGCAGGCTCCTGAGAGGTGTGACCTGCGTAGTTGGTTCCACGGGTACAAGAAAAAGGCCCCCGAAGTCATTGCCGTACACATTGGTGGGGGTGCGCGAGAAGATGCCGTAGTTGGTCAGGTGCCATTGCAAGCCGATGTGGTCGAGGACGGAGGGGAATTCCGGTAGCAGTTCCGGATTGATCAGGAAGGTGGCATCTTCGTGTACCCGCGCGCGGATGTGTCCGGCCCGCTGGGTTGACAGCAGGCCTTGTGTGCTGTCGTCACGGTCGATGCCTGGCGGCTGGAGCCACTGGACTAAGTCGTGATGTTGGTTGGATGGTGTGGGGGGTGCCGCCTTGGATGGTGTGGTGGGTTGCGGGCGTGGTGAAGGCATGTGGTGCGGGACGGGCCCGGTCGATGTGGTGGTCGCCTCCGGGAATCGGGCCTGTCTGGGAGTGTCGCGAGCCGTGGGTGTCGCGAAGTTGACGGTCCGCGGTGGTGTCATAGCTCGGGAGTATCCCGGTTGTGTGGAGCGGCCTCGCTGCTGTCGGGGGGTGTTGTTCCGTTGGCGAGACGGGTTCAATGTGCTTGGCGGGCCACGTGGTACCGCGTATGGCATCTGGTAGGTGCACGGATCGGGGTACCGAACGTTCATGTGGTGAATGGGCGTGTTCCACTCGCCGTGAAGGTGGTCGCGGAGGATTTCAAAGGCCTCCCGCCTGGACACGAAGCGCCATTCACGGTGGGCTGTGTCATAGTGGATGCCCACGCCGGCGTTGGGTCTGGCATGGTGCACGAAGCGCAGCCAGGCAAGAAGGTCACCATGCAGGACTGAGTCGCTGTGAACATGGCGGCATTCGGCACCACTGTCGCAAAAGCCTTCTGGATGCCGGGCCTGTTGTCGAAGATGTCGGTAACAGATGTTGTCTCGCGGCATCCAACGCGCATCAACGAACTCCGGATGCAAAAAGGCGCACTGGTGGGCAGAGGCAGGTGCACGTCCCCTGCAGCCGGAATGGTTGATGAACTGGTTGCAGACCTGATTGCCCTGCAAGATGTTGCCCGGACCGACCGCCTCGGGCAGGATCGAAAGATGGTCTTGAAGGGCCCGGTACAGTCGTTCATAATCCGGGTCGAGCTCGGTCATTTCCATGAGCTGGTACTCCTCCACGATGGATGCGAAATTCGCTGGAGCAGTCATGGCGGTCGAGCAGGCAGGGCAGGTAGGTCGGAAAGAAAAGAAAAATTTGGCTAATTCGCCAAAATGGCGAACGGAGCATGAATCAAGCAGTGTCATCCTGCAGGCACTCAAGGTTCGAATCTGAGTGTGATTCAAATGCCTTCCGCTATCGGTTGTTACTTTTAACACAAGTGTTAACCGCGACAAAGCAGCCCCAGCCGTGCCCGACAATTTGGGTTTGATGCTTGATAGTGTTTGTTGATGCCGCAGTTTCCAGGCTTAGCATTGTGTTTTGCAGTAAAACGGTGCTCAAGAAGTGTTGTTTGATGCCTAATAAGTTATTTTTCCCCCAGCCCCATCCCCCTGACTGCATCAAGCACAAACAACCGGCATCACCATATAAGAACCATAGCGTAAAGAAAGCCCCCCCCCCAGTTCCTTCCTTCTTCCTTCCTTCCTTCCTTCCTTCCTTCCTTCCTTCCTTCCTTCCTTCCTTCCTTCCTTTATTTTCCCCATTCCTGCGAAGAAAGTTTAGTTTTGGATTGATCCCAAATAAGTTTCTGTTTGACGCCTAATAAGTTTTTGTTGATGCCTATCCCTTTGTCAACAGCGTACGCCCGCCTCCGCAGTTCCGGTTGTGCGGTATGCCGCCGAGGCTCCTTGCTCCGGCGCGAAGACCTCAAGAGCAGAGCGCGCAAGCGGGAAACAAACACCACTCACGTGCCAGTTTCGCTACGTTCCGGCAAGTCGCCCTGCCGCATCTGGATGCCACAGCGCGTTTAACGCAGACTTTGCAGCAGTTGCGCGTGCACAGTCCAAGGCCTCGAAGATCACAAGAGCGACTGCCAAACCCCAAAACCAAGAAAGCAAACCGGCAGTACATCACTTTTCTATTGCCCAGGCACATGCTTGAACTCGTGCCGCTGCTGGTTGCTGCAGAAGGACTCGTGATGTGCCTCCTCCACTATGTCCCCGAGAAGCTTCAGAAATTTTGTCTGCCTCGGGTGCCCGGCTGACAGGCGACTTCAAGGTGTCTGGCCCTGGATGTCAACATAAACATTTCTGCAGGCAAAGCAGCAACTCCGAGGTACCAATACAGAATGGCAGCATCGCGTCGATGGCTGGAGCCTGTGGTCAACAACTGCAAGCAATGCAATCATGGAAAGCGGTGAGATGCAGGGAGCGGTTTCAAGTCACAGCCGGTCACGGCAGTCTTCCTGCCTTGGACACCGAGATGGTAATCTTCAGGGGGGGATCTCTGCCCATGTTCGCAGAGGCCTCGCTTCTCGACTTCGTCAAGGAAAAGACTCCGAGCGAAGGCCTTGCACTAAGACCAGCGCTGAATGTGGGAATATCCCCTAATTTGGTTGGCAATGTGAGACGGCAGCAAGCGCCTTTGGCGGCTCGCGGCTCGTGCGGTAACCTGCACCCTTTGCTGAGTGGTTGAGTGGCTATGAGTGGCTACAGCCGGCAGTTCTGAACCCAATGCCCGAAATGTGCGACAGGGGCTTCAGGGGTGCAGGCTACCCACCTAGGCAAAAGTAGAACGAGGCTTTCGTTGAAAGCCCGTTCAAGAGATCAGCTCTTGTCCTGAAGCGTGTTCCAACACTCCCAAACAAATATTGAAGATCGCCTTCTGGACACGAGAGCTTCCTGCTCCCTGGTTTTGATCCAAAATGCACGTGTTCGCAAGGTGGCAACTTTCCGTAGCATCCCCCCCCCAAAAAAAAAAAAGTCCAATGCGGGCTGGATGCTGAAAGAATGAGGGCTGGATGCTGCAGGCGAAAAGTCCTTTTTGCATCAGGCCGCCTCAAGCATCGAGTCAATTGCCTTCTGGCATTCTTCGGCTGCTTGTTCCCGCCCGTGCATCCATCACATCTTCGAGTCCCTAGACCTTCGCAGCTTCGAAGAAGCAGGCTGGGCGATCTGGTAAGCAGATCTGGCAGCCTGCCCAATGTCAGGGGGGCAAATAGCCAGGGGTCTCAACTTCCCACGCTCTTTCTGCCACAGATCGCGCAGCAGCAAAAGCCCAGTTCACCCCGTCCAAGCTCACAGGCTCCACCTGGGCTCATGTGCGATGCCTGCGGCATGTGTCACAATACGGGGACCCCCACAAATGGTGGCGGTCTTTCTCTTAAGATATCTTAAGATCAAGCCTCCAAACAACATCACGCGCATGTGACAGGCAGAGCCCGCCTGCTCCATATCTGCCTCTTCATCTACGTCGAAGACTCGCAGTCCGGGTCTTTGTGTCATCGGCTGCAAGTACATCCACCCTTGCAACCAACTACGCTTCTGGATGAAAAAGATGGGAAAGCTGCAAAAACCGCACTCGCAAACAAGAACACGCCAAGTGACCATGTGGCCCGCTGCTGGGCTCGTAAACCACCTGCACGGCCAGTACGACGGCCTCAGCTTGCACACGGCCGTGGCACGAGCTCCGGGTGTGCGGCGAAGCAAAGGCAGCTGGGCGGCAAGCTGCCAAGGCTCAGCCTGGGCACTGCGCCAAAAGACCACGTCATTCTCCTCCCGAGAAATCATCATTTCTCGCAATGCAAACCTTCCAAGTTAGAGATCACACGCTGGCCAGGGCAACCAATCAACATCCGAACTCCAAACAATTGAACGACTTATCATCCTGTTGGGCTGCTGCAACCTCCTCTCCAGGTGTGCAGCTCCGGTGGCCATGGTCGCAGAGCCGCAGTTTCTACATGGACATGGCCCATCAAACAAGGCATCATTCAGAGCCTTGAACGAGACGGGGGAAATTGGTATGGTTAGGCCCTCTGCTCTAAGGAGCAATCCGTATGAGCCCTTGGCAAGTCAGAACAGTTGGACCATGGGCGCGCCGTCCTGTGCGAGCTCATTTCCTGTCTCCACATCTTCTTCCCACTGCTCCCACTTCCGCTGCGCAAGCTTCAATTCTCGCCCTGGCCAAAACGGACATGACTGATCTAGCGTGAGCGCCCTCACTGTCTTGGCATCCCTCATCGGCCTGCTTCACGCAAACCGGTATGCTGCAAATCGCGGCGAAGAAGAGAATATGCTTCTCTTATTCGGCGGAAATCCTGAAACCGGTCGAGATTCAGAGCACTCCTGTTCCAACTCTGCTGGGGTCTCGCTTCAGCCACACTTCCACTTCCTCTCCATTGATTTGGATTCATAAAGGAGGCACGACCCACTCCTACCTTGCTCCCATCCCTACATCCTCAAAATCTCTCTACCCTCCCCTGCCCTGCCCCTGTGCGACTTTCTGATAATGGTGGACCCTCGTTTAGTTTATTTGTTTAAGCGCAATTAGAAGGAAGCTGTTGCCATTGTAGGGCGCCCTTTCCCAAAGCCGGGCCTCAGCAGAGCCCCCCACGTCGGGGTGCGCCGCTTTGGCCGCAGCCCGAAAAGCCGCCCGCAGCTCATCGCGCGATGAGCCGTCTGAATCGAGGCCCAGAAGCGCCAGCGCCTGGCAGCGATCGAATGTCACCGCAACGCTTCGTCGCTTATCAAAAATGCCCCGAGCACGTGCAGCAAAAGCACACTGAATTTCACGCTGGCCCAGCCTCGGCTAGGCTCGAAATGCCTTGCCCGCCTTGCCTGAGGCTCAGCATGCCAAAAGTCAGGAATGAGGACATCAGGAAAATGTGGCAACAAAAATCATCTCAAGCTATCCCGCTTTGGGGATCTGTCTTGGCGGCACGGTTGGTTGATGGGTGCAGTCACCAGGGAAGTCAGAAAACTCGCCAAGCGTTCAGAGTCCCAGGCGCACTGAAAAGCAACTAGGCCAAAAGAGCAGCAGGAATAGCAGCAATGGTAGCCATGGCGCAATCCGCATGCCGAAGCACTGCCGTTTCCTCCACAAGGTGATGATTCGAATCATTCTTCACTCCGTCCCATGTTGCAACCAACTGAAGCTGACGAACTTCCGCTGCGATTGGCTGGCATAGCACGCCCCAGGCCCAAGCAGGTAGCCAACTCTTCGCTATGTGGCCAGGTCAGAGTGCGGGCAGCCAAGAACAAGGCGCTCCACGAGCCGCAAAGACATGGAGGTTCATTCCCATCCGAGGGGTTTCTAGGCAAACTTCATGTCAAAGCTCCTTTGCCCAGGCACCCTAGGAGCCAATGGTGGCTTCCCACTGCATCGCCCTCTCGCCGCTCTGCCCTGCTTTGCCACGGCTGAGCGCACAGTGACCGTGAAACTCCCCTGACGCTTGCCTCATGAAAGCCGTCAGCCACGCCAAGGAGCCCCCGGTAAGTCTTTGAAACAAGTGAGGCAAACCACGAAACTGAGAAACGCCATACAAAGCAGCTGTACCGGGGCTGCACTCGGCACTTCCTAGTACTACCTCTGCAAGGCCAGCTGCCGGGGAAAAAAAGGCGTCCAGCCAAACCTCAAATCCTTGCATACCGCAAACCCGTGCAACCAAGTTGGTCCATTTGTTTAAAAAAATAAAAATAAAAATAAAATGTTGATATATGTATTACATATTGTATAAATATTAACAATAATATAGGTAAATATAATAAAAATACAAGCATATTTGAATACATCACATTTTTCAAATATATAATAAATCAAGAGGATATAGGATAATTATTGAAAAAACAAATCAAAAAAATAAATATAATATAATATATATATATATATATATTAAAGAAAAAAATGATAAAGATGGTATACCAACAAATGGCATTAATACATGTTATGTTTATGCTTTTAGCCCGGCAGGTGATACAAAGCAAGGCATGTTCCTTTCCAGAACGGCCTACACTTGACACAGAACAGTGCTGAAAATGACTCGTCCAAGGCAAAAAAAAATAGACAAACGCGAGTTCTTGCTGACTCACTTGACGTACGGCACCTCGCCCTCGGGCCGGGTTTCACATCAAACGCTTGCAACCCCCATCTGCGCAGCTCATGGCGGGCGAGCTTCCGAAGGATTGGTATGGTCAACGAAGACAGTTTGCTCCTTCTCTTGGGGGGGAATCCTGTTGTCTCGGAGCATGAATGCTGATCACGCAGACTGCACTAAGCTGCAGCTATGGCGGCGCACCCCTTGTAGCTTGCCGCCAAAGTAGGCGGAGAAGGGCGCAAGGACCAGGGACAGTGTTGCCGACCTGTCAGCAAGCCCAAGCTCCGCCCCTTGCTCGCTCCAAACGACGGTTCGTGTATCAATTTGGGACAGAGGTGTCTTTTGTTCTCCCTTGCAACTGAGTCAAACAGCTGGTGGCTCACTGCTTTGAGATATGACAGGCCAAGGGGTGAAAGGGAAGGCTGGGCCGGCGGCACAACCTGCACAATGGCGTAGGAGACAAATAGGCCGCCAGCCTTGACACACCCCACTTCCCAACAGGAAAAAACCGCCTGCTAAGTGGAAGGCATCCGCCACCAGCTGCATGCCAACGCTGTTGAAGCATCTGGCCTGGGCAACAGCTGGTGCTTGCGAAAGGCACGTCACTTGCGCCAGTTCGGGCCTGCTCCAGTTCTGACATGAAGCCCTGCGTGCCTGCTCCAACCTGTTGCGAGTCTGGCAGCCAATAAGAATCAAAGCACGACACCGAGGCTCGCTGAGCCAGGGGCAACAAGGCCGAAGGCCAGCCATTTCACCAGGCTCGAGAAAATGTTGGTT